AGGAGTGTACTCATTTTAAGGAGTGTACTCATTGGATCCTCCCCCTATATATATATGAATATTTTAATATTAGAATATCATATTTTACAAAACAATATATAAACATTAATATTTCATAGTATAAATAAATAAGAATAATTATTATTTTTTTTAGTTATAACGGATTGACTTGTTGAACAGTTACATAAACATTCTGATCATATAAGAATTCGTGAATTTGGAAGTTTTTTTTTGTTGCAATATTGTTCTCACTGCGACAAAATAGTGAAATTCCATCGAGACATTTCAATGAAAATATATTATTTTCTAATTGAATAATTCCAACGACAATTCAAATGGATATTAAAATGCTGTTATTTTTGTTGGAATTTTATCCGATTGGGTCCAATGAAAATTCCAACAAAAATATTTTGTTGGAATGAATTTTTCATTGAAATTTTTGTTGGATTTTAAGGATTAAAACGAAATTTTGCAACGGTTGAAATGTGGGCGAAAAATAAAATTTCAAACGAAAATTGTATATTCGTTCGGTAAAATACCGTTGCAAAAATAGTCGTTCGGATTTCTGAATTTCTAGTTATGTTAAAGCTAATTAAACTGCATTAGTTTTGTGCTATATATAAACATCATTAGGGAAAAAAAAATAGACAGCAATTATTGGATACAATATTTTGTCTCAGTAAACCATTTTGTTCCACTTGGCTAATCATGCAGGATTATTTATCTGCCTATATATATATATAATATATATATGTATAAATATTATAATGAGAGATACACAAGTCAAGTCAAAGTTGGATTCACTCTAATTTCAATAATTTGCTGTCTAATCCTCTTTAGTGGCACTAAATTAATCCTCTGTTATAGTGTAATTAATTAACTTAATTTGATTTGTTGGTCTATCTAATCTAGCAACCTAAGCCTACCCAAACAATGGCATATATATACAATTCAAATCTGAATATTAATGAATTAATTAATTAGGTCACCAATTGGAGTTTTATAATTAGCATTAGAGTTAATTTTATAGGCTTGATTTAGTTTAGTTAACCAAACTATTTAGTTTGCAAATAATTAGCAAAGGTTTTGAGGCATTAAAATTATAAAATCTTGGTTTAATTAGTGACAGCTCTCATATAAAACTTATAACTGCCAACCAATTGCAGACTATACTATAAATTAAATTAAATTAACCCCTTAAACAATATATATATATATATATATATATGTGTTTAAAAACTAAAAATAAATAAAAATAGATAGGCATGGACTTTGTCCAAAAGTCCCAAACTGCAAAGTGCGAGGAAAATCAAAGGGTGACGAGTGCAAATCATTT